TTTGTCTTAGCTGGAAGCTCTGCTGAAACCTGTTCAGCATCATAGCAACACGCAAGCTTCCATATCAGATAGGTGGTGGCTGTGCATGAAGTGCATTGGCCAGGAATCGAACCCAAGCCTTCCACACGGAAGGCAAGAATTCAACCACTGCATCACCACTGACTTTAACCAAACAGCATTTAACCAAACCTTTTTTTAGAACTTGTGCCACAGTCTGTGATTTTTCCTGCTCAGCCCTCCTTCTTTCTCCTTCACAGATTCCAGACTTGCACTGAGTCTGAAGTCTCCCATCTTCTCCCTGTTTCCTCTCTGTCTTCTGACACAGGCATTTCCTCCAGTAAATTTCAGGCACTTTGAATCCTATCTTAGCATCTACTTCTCAAAGGACTTAAACTCACTCATAAGTACTTAACCCCAAAAGTGTAAACTTGTCTGCACAAAGACCTGTAGGCAAAAGTTTATAGCAGCTCTAGACATAATATCAAAAAACCAGAAACAACCCAAATGTCCATCAACCAGTAAATAAACAAATTGGCATGTATATTACAATGGAATACTACTAAGCAATCAAAAAGGACAAATTACTGACATTTGCCATATGATGGATGAATCTCAGAAGCATTAGGAGATCATTTATATGATTTCATATATGAGACCATTTATATGTCGCTCTCAGAAAGACAAAAGTATAGACACAGAGATAAGACCAGTGGTTGCCATGGGCCTGGGAATGGGGACAGTACTGATCACAAAGGGGAAGTGGAGATTTTTGGGGGGGTGGATGAAAATGATATGTATCTTGACTGTAGTAGTAGTTACATGACTGTAAACATTTTTCAATATTCATCAAACTGCACAAACTGTAAACTAAGGGGTAAATTTTACTGTATGTAAATTATACATTAATAAACTTGAATAAAAGAAAGAAAAAGGGATAACTCTTTGGCAGCCATGAATCTGGCAGAGTCTGAAATAGCAGAAACCAGCACAGAGAATTGTCTGACAAGTCCCAGCAGAGAGGTGAGAACCACATCAGTTGGGGTGAAGGCCCTACTCAGAAACATGAGCCCCATCAAAAGCCCCCATAGGTTCTGCCTTCAATTCTATCACCTTTCATAGGTCCTAGAAGAAGGCAAAGTAAGTCTGGCCTCTGGCTAGTTTACCCTTTTATGATGAAATATTTTGTCTTCCTCCTCCACGGCTCCTGTAAGGACGAGCATGTACATGTGCAATGAGTGGTTCTCCCGGAATAAACAGAGCACTTTGATGTCATTCCATTCCTTTGGAAATAGTGTACTATTCCCAAATGTGAAAGAGACTTTTTAGTTTAACAACAGAAGCGTGAAAAGGAATTGAAATAACTTTCTTTGCTAAAAGTAAAAAAATATAGACAAACCTAAAAAAATTCTGTTTCTGCATCCTTTTCACTTCTAGGCTCCAAGATTTTATTGAAGCTGGAAGTACGTCTTGTAGGTCCAATTGTCATTATTTTTATTTTGTCACAATTTGCCTTTGTGACTTTCCCTGCAGTGTGTGTAAAATAAATACAGGCAGGACTCTGGATTAGGGAGTCTACAATTTCTGTCTTGCGTGCACCACACCAAGGCCTTCACAGAAAAGGCAAGAAGCTTCCAGATGTGTGACTCCACCAAGCTGGACACCAGTCCTGGTCTTCAAGTCCATTTTAGTTCATTTAGTTGCTGTGATCGCACTGTGCACATTTGCCGTGTGACTTCCTGAGGGCATTTATGCTTTGTAGGCGGCTGTCTTAGTTACCCAGTGCTGCTATAACAGAAATACCACAAGTGGATGCCTTTAACAACCAGAATTTTATTTTCTCACGGTTTAGGAGGCTAGAAGTCCAAATTCATAGCACCGGCTCCCAGGGAAGGCTTTCTCTCTATGTCAGCTCTGGAGGAAGGTCTGTGGTCAAGCAAAATAGCCTCTTCCCAGCTGTGTCGCTCTCTTGGTCCTCGGCCTCTTGGCCCCTCAGGCCCTGGCTCGGCCTCTGCCCTGCTCCAGCAAGTGTTACAAAGCTCTTTAGCTCCATTGATAAGTGCCCAGAAGCACCCTACTCTGCCAGGAAGCCTCCTGCCTAAAGGCACTCAGCTCTCTCCATGGGTTGGCTCCCCCGCCTTCTCATGCAGGTCTCCTGGTTCTGTTGCCACTGTTTCTCTGCTGCTGCTCCTCCACCATCTTGTGCCGTCTCCGATGATACAGCTATCTCTCTCTGTCTCCTGGTCCTAGGAGGTTCTCAGTGCAGGGAACCCGGGTACAAAGGACGCGTGCCGCTCCCGTCTCTTCTTCTTGGTGGTATTGAGGTCCCTCTCTCTGCTTGCTTCTCTCTCCTTTTATCTCTTGTAAGATAAAACGTGTGACTTGAATAAGGGTGGTGAGGGGTAAGGGTGGTACCTTAAGTCACATCCTCTAGTAAGGTGGTGACTTAAGATACATCCCACCCTAATCCTGCCTCATTAACATAATGGACAACTCACTCCCAAATGGGACCATAACCACAGGCATAGAAGCTAGGATTTACAAGATATCACCAAATGAAGGGTAATTACATCAGATTACAAAATGGAGGACAATCACACAATACTAGGAATCATGGCCTACCCTAGTTGACATGTATTTTTTCTGAGGGGAGGGGGTGACACAATTCAATCCATAACAGCACCTATCTTTGAAAATGAACAAAGTAGGCATTTGGTTAATTATATATTTTTTCAGCCTGAACAAATTTTACTCCTGAATCCAGTGCAGCGTCTCCTTGTTT